ACAAAAACACCACCACTGTCTCACGTTTGGCAGCAGGCAGATGATTTTTGTCTTAGTTTCTGCTATTGAATCTGATTTTTTCTTTATCTGACTATCAGCTACATCTGAAATCCTGTTACAGAGTTTTTTCTGAGAGTAATTTTAGACTTGATAGCAGTTTCTGATTCGTAATTCAGTTCAGTCACAGGACAACAGTAGCCTGTGGCAACATTAGATTTCTGGGGTGGTTATCCCCTCCAGTCTCTAGGTGGTACCTGCTCTTCAAAGGAAAAGGACGTAAATAACTAATAAAAGAAGGTATTTGTCTTTTCCTGTAGCATCTTTATGTATCCACAATTTGGGGGGGCTTCCCTGACACTCTACATTAATCACATATCAGGAAATTGAAAAACACGTGCTTGTTGGTTGGTTTACCCCTCCATTTTTAGTGGGGTCATGAATTGTCCAAGAGAAGATGACAGGCCAGTCTTCTGACTTCTGGTAAAAGACTTCTGGTAGGCTCTGGGCATTTTTGCTCCATACAAAGTCAACAGAAAAGAGAAGCTTTTTAGTCGATGAAGCTTTCCCTCAGAGATTTGGCTAATGTTTCATTCTGAAGATTTATGCTGTTTCACAGAAAAAAAGAAAAAAAAAAAAAACAGATGGCTGACCCATTTTACTGGAAAGATGAAAGAGCTATTTGGCATTAAAAGTTGTTATTTCCTCAACTTATTCAGCTAACTGCTATTGTTGTCATAGTTAACCACTGTGATAGGTCAGGAAAATATTAGAGTACCTTAGTAAAACCCAACTTAATGTAAATGCACACAAACAGCTAAAGAACACAAGTGCTTCGTAGTAGTGAAATGTCATCCCATTGATGGAAAGGAAGTCTTGTGCAAATCTAATCATCATTAATGTAGTCCTGTAGTGCCAAAGGACAGAGAAAGTGTGAACCTTTTTCTTAATAATAGTGCTGAGTTACTAGAACTTTTTCAGCAGGTATGTTGCTCTCTTGGAGTAGGTTGTGTAGGATCAGATATCTTCAAGTACCTTTGGCTATCCCATGATTTTCCTATTACTGCAAAAATAAATTCAACAAATCCTTTTCCTGAAGTCTTAAATCAGTTCCTTCCTCACCCTGGTAATATCAGAATGTGAAAGTCACATGGCTTCATTGGGTATTCTTGTGTGACTGCTGTAGATTTTAAAAACACACAGCAATCCACACTTTCCATAGTGTGTGTTTAGGCAGAGTGAATATCATATCTGCTTGAAATGTATAATTCTGCTGTGTTTTGGTTAAAGGAAGTAGTAAAGCTATATAATTTTCTTCAGAATTACCCTTTTCCCCATTCTGATGGTATATGGTTCTAAAACAATTCTCTTCAAATTAAATAGTACATTTACAGTACATTTAAATAGCACATTATAGCAGAAACAAAAAAAAGGCAAAAGCCTTCCTTGAAACAGAGAAGAAACACAACTGGGGAAAAAAGGAAATAAATACTAGTAACAAGATAAAAAGGCAGTGTCTTTACGTTTATTGGGGAAGCTTTCTAGGTCTTATAACAAAATAAATTCTTAATTTTCCTTTAAACTTTTTTAAGGTAAGGGTTTAATTTGTACATTTGGGAACTGGACCTAAATTAGCTGGCTGTGGAAAGCTATGCTAAATCTTTGAAACCTGTTACTTGAAGGAAAATTTACTTCAGGAAATCACAGAGGCCTTTCACTAAATTGAAGTGTTAGTTTAGATTCTGGGATGTGCAACAACATGTGAGTGGGTGTTCACATACGGGCGTCAGGGTAGCTTGGTATGATACGACATTTAACATGCCCGTAGCTTGTGATGTAGATACATCAGGCTTTGTACTCTGTCAGTAACCTCATAAGAAATAATTATAAAAGAGTTGTTACCATTTGGAGGTAACAATTACTTTCTCTTACAGGGCTGAACCTTAGTCTCAAATGTAGTAATAACTTAGCAGTAATTGCTGTTAATTGACCACTAATATGATTACACTTTCTCTGTTGAAAGTGTTGACGGTGTTGTGGGAGTTTTATGTAACTGTGCTTAGTGGTACTTACAACCTTTGTATAGTGTTTTGAGATCTTTAGGTTAAAATACAATAAATATTGTATAAATATAATAAAAAACTGAGTACTAGCAGTTTAGATATATGAATTCAGGAAGATTTTTGTCATGTCAATTCTTCTATTAGAGTTTCTTTGTAAATTGCTCTTCTTAGAATTACTATGAACAAAACTAGAATAAATGTCCAAAACCTAACCTTCTTCATAAAGAATGAAATTATAATGACGTTAAAAGTAGAAGTTACCTAAGATCAGTGTAAGCCTGATTCAGTTTTTTCATCTGCCTCTTTGTCCTTTTGGAAGAGAAGGAATAGCTAATAGATGCTTCATTTCTCTTTTCCCCCATGTTTTTCCTACTTTCTCCTTTGTTTGGAAAATTTGGCTTTTTCTGTAGAGTTTGATTGCCAGAAGTGTTTGCTGAAGAAGTTGTTTCAGATGGTGGAAGCATTACAGTAGGTATGGGGGTTTGAGAGAAAAGGGGTGAATAGTGGTAAAAGCTCTTGCCTCACGCTCTGGTTTGCCATGGGAGAACAAGTATGTGTTAGCTTTGGGCTCTTTAGATCTATTTATTACTACATGGTATCTAGACTGTACTACTGTAATCGCACCATCCCATAGCTTTCCTTTCCTTAAATAGACAACACGTATGTTCCATCTCATAGTAGGGCATCTCTTGTTTGATGAAGGGAAACCATATTTTTACATACTTAATTTTCTAACTTATCTAGCTTTATAACCTAACAGTTATTCACTATGAGTGAATTAGGTATCAGAGAGGAAAATAACTTTTTACTCTTCCACCTACCGTCAGAAAAAACTTTCAATTACTATCAAAACCCTTCGTTTGTAAAAAGTGGATTGGAAACTTCAGGATAGAATAGTAGGATAACTGAAACTAAGTATATTTATGGGAATCTAAATCATATATTTAAATTGTACACCCAACCTCCCCTGGCTTCCTTTATGTCAGATGGTTGGCTGCAGTCATCTGTCAATCTTCATCCAAGTTAGTAATTTTTATCGGAATTTTCCACAAAAGTAACAGCAGGGGTTTTTTTCCACTTGGGCTGTGATTCAGGGAAAAGGCAAATAATGTTCCAGGTTCGTTAGGCAACACTAAGTAAGTTCCTGGGAATAGATGGTGTTTCTGATAAGCTCAGTAAGAACATTCCTGAGACAGAGGTATGGAGTTGAAGGTTGGGGGGTGGTTAATGCATCACCACAATGTTACATCTACTTCAAATATCTGCAGCCTCTAAAGCAGCATAGCTTGCTGTGCAGCCCTGTAAGGCAAAGTATTTGTATGGACCGCACTTAGAGATTACAAGTTATGAAGCTCAAATCTGTGGATGGCTCATGTTTTTGAGATGGCATAAATAGTCATTTCTGCTTTCAAGCTACCTTATCAAGATTCCCCACCCTCACCCTCCACAAGAGACAAATGTATGGTCATGATGGTGTCTTTGTGATGACTTCCATTCAGTTCCTGGTCTGCTTGGACCTGGTTACATACCATTGCTCTCAATTTTGCAGTCAGTGTAAACTATACTGTCCAGGCTTAACAGATATTATTGTGCTTGATCCTTTACTTACTGACAGCCAAGCACAACAGCCGCAGGCTTTTTCTGGCTGGGGTGGGAAATTTTTTTACAAAACAGGAGATATCCTCTCATGTTAGAGAGTCCTTTAAATGGGCACCTTAAATTCAGCTAGTCAAGAGATCATTGCTGTGATGCAACCTTACCTGCTGGGTCTCAAGCATATTGTTTTCTCCTGTGTATTTAAGATCCCAGAGGAATTTCTTTTGAAATAGACTGCATTTCTGCCTGACTTCCCTCATTCTGGTAGGTTGGAGTGCTAATTTGGGATAATTATGGAGGTTGTATCAGAAGGAATATAAAAATATGCACCTTTTTTGATGGTTGATACACTGATTGTATTCACTGTTTTACGTCTCCAAATGGCTGATGCATATAAAGAGAGCAGAGCCTTTGGCTGGCCCAGTTAGACTCTAAGAAACATTATACCTTCCAAAAAATTATGAAGGTAATAAGAAAAAGACTGAGACAATTAGGCCTAGAGATAAAAAAAATACACTTTTGTAAGTGTACAAAGGATCATGGCCAAAAGAGTATTTTCAGAAAGACCAGCGTAAAACTCTTAAGACTGTTGAAGCTCAGAATGAGTTTTTAACACTGTTTTAACAGCAGTTTTCTGAAGGCAATGAGGAAGGATACATGATAGCTATTTTGATGTCTCCTCAGGCTCAGATTTCATGGTTTCAGAATCAAATACCATTCCCAAAAATTCCAGTTTTCTTATTCTGGAATAATTTTTTTAATACTTGCAGAAATGACTGAAAAAGATCCTAGATGAAGGAGATATAGTTTGCTAAAAAGAATTGACTATTTGTAAGATTTCTGGCAAATAATGTGGAAATTGTTACAAATAGTCTTACATTCCCAGAAGGCCATGGAAAAGTTGACTGCTGCTTTCAAAAGTGTCTTGGACTGAAAAGTCACCTACACCATCTGAATTTTGCTTGTGGAATGTTAGAGCTGAACTAGCGGTAGTTAGAGCTTAATGACCACTTTGAATTTGGTGATACTTATGGAAGCCTTCAGTTTTGTCTGTCATTTTGACTTTTTTTGTTGTTTCAATGTTTTGGTAACAATTACCAGTGCCCCAAAAGAAAGAAGTCCAAGAAGATACAATTTGGAGCAACTTCAACTCCCTGTGATGGTTTTCTCCATTTTTCATCTTCACAACCGTTTTCATGGTACTTATTTTTTGAAATTGCAAGTACATGTTGGTGATACGACCAATATGAAGAATTATTCCTATTAATCTTGTTTACTGTATATGAGCTTTCTGCAAACATAGAAAATGAAGTAAATTTTACTGTCTTGTTTGTTTTGAATTAGGTTCATGCACTGTTAGTTCGAGAAGTCGATGTGGAGAAGGTGTCAAGTTTTGAGAACCCATATGTAGATGCAATAAGAAGTTTATGGAATGACCCTGGAATTCAGGAGTGTTATGATAGACGACGGGAATATCAGTTATCAGATTCAACTAAATAGTAAGTACATGGTGGCTTCAAACAATTATGTTTAATTTTCTGTTTCTAACAAAGTAATTTTTACTTTTTAGCTTATACTGTATGCCTGTGTACATATTTGTATGCATATGCAGCACAAACATACCTGAATATACACTTACTAGATTGAATTAAGGAGTGGAGTACATCTACTTTAGGATTATATCTGCACTTGTTTCACAGAATGACAGTCTGTTGTAATCCAAAGTCCTAAACTAAGATTCTAACTAGGGATAGTTAATTTAGTTACTCTTTAGTAATGTAGCATATGGCTTTGATAAAATTTCTCATCTGCTGTCAAAGAAATAGATAATAGATAATGACCTTTTGATGTTGATCAGTATTACAAAACATAGCATAGTTTGGTATTAAAGCTGTGGCAAAAACACTATGGACTCTGCATGAGTTTTTGTATTAGCTATAAAAAAAATTGTTCTGATGATAGAATTCCAGTTTCCTTTTGGCATGTGTACAGGAATGGAAGCCCTCTTACTGAGGAAAGTGCAGAGGAATACAAAGGCACCACGACTCTCCCATTAGCCCTCCCATTGAGGCAGGGCTGTAGACATGACAAGACTGGGATGATATTTGTCTGCACAGTAGTTTGATGATCCTTATCTAGCACAGCACTTTATAAGTGAGTCAAGATAAACTTACTAGGATCTTGCTGAAACAGTTTAGGCAGCTGAAAACCTATGGATGCATGACATAGGTTTCCTCAGATTTGCTGCAATGTTATCACCACACCATGTTTTTCTTCTTGCCCTGTGCATAGGGTTTCTGTTGTCCTGTGCAATTCTGTCATGGTTACCTTCCCAAGCCAAGATTTGTGTTTGTGTACATGTATTTCGGTGTAGAGGGTTCAAAGCACTCTTGTGTGGCATCTCTCTTGTATTATTTGGATTCTCACTGTCCCTAAAGATACCATAGTGTGTTTTGGTATTACGTGGTAAGAAAACAAATAGAATATTACATAAAGCAAAGAACTTCAGGATGCATAACAGGGGGGGGGGGGGGAATTTTAAGGAAAAGTTGCTGACAATATATTTTCACATTGTTTCTGTACTGAAACAAGCGGCAAGGTTAAGTAGAAGCTGAAGCAGAACTTGTCTTATATTTTGAATTTCTTGTATTTGTAGGTCCTAACTCTGTTTCCACCACTGATGATACTGGTTTTAAAGTTGAAATAAATGTATGTATTTTGTGTGCTTACCTTAGAGGTTAAAAATAGAATTACTTATTCTCTAAAGTAGGAAATAATGATCTGATGCTAACTCAGATCAGATTGTGCTGAATACCATAGTTTTGACCTACTTATTTAATTGTTACCAGAGTGGATCTTTTGAGTAGCATTAAAAATATTAGGGAATAATTATTAAGTAGCTGTAAAAGCAAATTACTAGAACATTGTCTTGCAAAAGATGCATGTACTAGTTGATTGGTTATTTCTCAAGCTCAGTATATTTAGCAATTCATCATGAGTTTTTGCAGGTTTGGTGAATTTATTATAGTTCATACTATGGATTTCTGCAAAATCTTTTAGTATTGTAAATCAATGTGTATGAGTCTTTAGAAAAGCCTCTTGTGTATTTATGCTTGCAAGTAGAGTTTTTTCAGGTATGTAAGTCCATTAAAAACAATTAGCAGAAAGAAAAGAAACACTGTTTCAAAAATACAGTGTATATGTTTACCAGTAGAACACCCAAACAAATTTACTAGCATTAAATCCCTGTCGCAAAGCAATGAAAAGAATTGCTTAGAAGTTACTACTGGGATTCACAAAAGCAGTAAGACAGAAATAAGCACTCAGTGCCCATTTCTTCTGACTTGATGTATAAACCAAAACAGTTTGTTGTCCAGCAGATCTCTTGTAAGCATATGTGTCTGTATGTCTAGTAAGCATATGTGTCAGTGTCAGACATGTTCGTCCTTCATCCCATGCACAAGCCTCTCATCTCCTCAGTAGTTTTCCCCTGTGTTTTTGTTGTTGTAGTAGTAGTAGTAGTAGTAGTTTTGGTCTGCTGCCTGTATTGCTTTTTTCTCCCATCAGTGTTCGACAAAGGTCAAGTGCTGGGTCCTGCTCTTGAGTCACAACAACCCCAGGCAGCACTACAGGGTGGGGGCAAAGTGGCTGGAAAGCTGCCTGGTGGAAAAGGATCTGGGCATGCTGGTAGACAGCAGCTGAACATGAGCCAGCAGTGTGCCCAGGTGGCCAAGAAGGCCGATGGCATTGTGTCAGCAATTGTGTGTCAGCGGGACTAGGGAAGGGATTGTCTGTCTGTACTTGGCACTGGTGAGGCCACAGCTCAAATCCTCTGCTCAGTTTTGGGTCCTCGAATATAAGACAGATGGTGAGGTGCTGGAGTGTGCGCAGAGAAGGACAGTGAAACTGGTGAAGGAATTAGAGAGTAAGTCCTATGAGAAGTGGCTGAGGGAGCTGAGTTGTATACCTTGGAGCAGAGGAGGCTTGGGGGAGACCTTATTGTTCTCTACAGCTACCTAACAGGAAGTTGCAGCAAGATGGGAGTCAGCCTTTTCTCACAGATAACTAGCAATAGAACGAGAGGACATAGTCTCAAGCTGCACCAGGGGATGCTCAGTTTGGATGTCAAGAAGAATTTCTTCATCAAAAAGGTTGTTAAGCGTTGAAAGAGACTGCCCAGGGAGGTGATGGAGTCACTATTCCTGGAGGTGATCAAGAAACGACTGGACGTGGCACTTAATGCTGTTGGTCTAGCTCACAATGATTGATCAAGGGTCAGACTCAGTCATCTTTGAGGTCTTTTCTAACCTAAATGATTCTGTTATTACACGTTGTCTTCCTCTGTGTGTTCTATTATTTTATTGTTTCCAAGTTCTATTCCAGGTTTCTAATATGCCCTGTATATCATAATACTTTCACTTCCTGCCATCTGTGGACATGTTTTATCATTGTTAGCTATGCCTGTGATCTTTTTATACCTACTGGTAGTAGCATGGAAGAATACATCTGATGTGTAGTTTACCACAAGAGGTGGTAATAGTGTCTAAGAAAGAAAATTTCCTGCATCATGGGAGTTGAGTTGAACTTCATAGAGGCTCAAAAAATGCATTCCATTCTCTTCCCTGGCCATTGGATGCTCCGCAACTTGGACATTTCTGTTGTTTTAAAATCAACTTTTAGACTTCTTTTTGGTAAAGTCAGGAGGACTTCAGGTATATAGAGGTTATTCGCTTCTCAGGTACATTACAGGATGACTTAGCCACTTAACTGCCGCTAAACCACTTCCCTTAAAGATGTTGTTCACAGTGTGAGACTGATGTAAAATAATAACACACTGTGGGTTGCCTTAAGTAGTAGCTATGTGAGATGAGAACATTCAGTATGTGCTGTACAGAGTGTCAAGACCTTAACCCACATGTGAGGAGATTACTAATCAACAATCTGATTGTATCATGGCTGTCCAAAGCCTAAAGAAAGGAGAGGCAACAGTCTTCTGTGTTGACATTAAAAGAGACAGAATTTGGGTTGCAATTGGAATTTGTAAAGATTTGTCACCATTTTTCCCCAAGATGACACTAAGGGCTTGCCCTTCATGAACAAAATGTAGGAAATATTTAGAATTGGAAAGTGTCCAAGAGCCTTGCTTGGCTCAGATTTTAACTTCATTTTTCTCTGGCCCCATGAAATGGAAGTATTTGGCTATTGTGAACCTTCAGTCAAGGACTTTCTAGTTGCTACACAAGCACTGAGAATATCTGTTTAGCTTCCCTTCCATGGCTATGTTTCCTGGCACTTCAGATAATTAAATATAATTCTCCCACAGGTTCCTACCCCACTGTGTTAGCTGTTTCAGTGAGTATCTCATGGACCACTCTGTAATGCACCACTTTGTTAGCCATATGTGCCATGGCATTCTTGTGGGCTTTTGCATTTGCTGTCACCTTTAACAACTCAGTTCCTGCAGTTATGCAGCTGTGTGTATATCTTTGAGTTGAGTTAGTTGGACAGTTAGTACAGAAATGCAGATTCCAGTGTTTTGCCATGTAATAAGAGCTCAAGGATGTGATTCTGAGGACATCTTCAGCATATCACTGACTGCTAACAGGGAAAAAGAGATGAAATCTAATTATGTGTGCTCCGTAAAGCAGTTTCACCTTATGTGAAACTACTGAAGTTGTAGGGCTTTGGTCGTTTAGTAATTTTCCTATGGCAGTATTCCATTTGAGTTTTAAATATTTTCATAAGTTCAGCTGAACAATTAATTCCTTCATATCTGTCAGCTAAAAGTAACATTTTGCTTCTGTGTTCCACTTCTGAAACAGATGTATTTTACTGGAATTAATGCGTGTAGCTCTAAAGGTACACGAGAGGAAAAATCAGTGTATGAATCTAAGTTCTTACTAAGGCAGTTTACTCCACTTGCTGGTATTGCCTTTAGCAATCATTCTTTCTTTTATTTCCTAAAGATGTAGGGAATTCTTAAGAGTATACTGGGTTTGTATGAGCCTTTCAGAAGGCTCATACTGTCCTGATTTGGGACCTGCTATGCAGCTGACACTGATACAGCAAATTTTGAACAACTGTCTGTGGGCTATCTGTGTAGAAGTCACTAGTTTGTGGTGAGAAAACCAAATACTCACAATTTTTAAGATGCATAAGCACATCATTTTAATATATTAAACAAACATTTTAATACTGTTCAGTAATTCTTTCTTACCTTCATCTGTAAAATCATACCTGAAGGTCCTAAAGCTATACTTGGGGGCAATTTCTGTTGCAGAATGGTAGATTCTGCTTTTATGTATTTACAATTTACAGTCTTACTTATGTAAAGTTTACAGTAAGATAGAAACAGCCAGTAAAAGTGAAAGTCTGAAATTCAAAGATCAAGTACTAGCAGCAGAACCATGCTAATTATATCTTATGCCTTACATATAGTCCCCAAACATTAAAGGAAAGTCTGAAGAAAGATGGGACATGGAATCTACTGCATACCAAA